AAGCAGCTGCCTGTGATTATGCATGACTTTGTGGTAGCGGGCCTTAGAGAGCGAAGACGAGACAGCATTGTTGGCCGTCTGTCACCTACCCGAGCCAACAGAACTAACTGAACACGTACAGAAATCAGTGTTATTTTTTCCGAGAAAAGGCCACAGAACGTGCTTCGAGGAAGTTGAAGTATTTGTGCAAACTAATTAAATTTCGGATTTAAAAAGTGCAATCTTTCTGCTACTAGAACTTCTACACAGAAGAAGGATTGAGTTAACAACAAAAAGGAAGGGTCATAACCCTTTTAAAAAGAACCCCCGGGGTTACAGCTGAGTAGAAGTAGAAGAACTGCAAAATAACAAATTAAGAGGCAATTAGGGCAGATAACATTATAATGTCCATCAGAGGCGGCAAAAGGGAAAGAAAGAAGAAGTAATGCATTACCACAACGAGGTTGACCAATGAGATTGCGTTCAGTCCAATGTCCCAGAGCACCATCAAGGCTAGGAGACTGAGGTCGATACACGCGACGCCAAAGAGAATGATGAGGGTGGCGGCAAAATCAAGGCCCAATAGGAGCCACGTGATCACGGCGATAGCGGCAAGGCAAGCACCTAGTTGCTGTGCCGTCTCAGGCACAATACTGAGGTATTGTTCATAGAAGACATAGAAGACGCTAGAGGGGGGAGGAAACAAACACAAACGCAGGGAAATTTATAGGTAGGAGGCCCAGTAAAACACAGGTGACAGGTACTATTTACTGGTAAAGCGTCTCCTAACGTCGTAGATCGAACCTGACTAACACTTACTGCAAATCCCGATTACTACCCAGCATGGATATGGTCGACTGCTGGTTGTTATACGACTGCAAGAGGCAACGGAATTTAAATAACAAAATGCAGGATTAGTTGTCATCATCAACCAGCTCTTTAGCAGAGATTCAAAGCGCCAGGAGGCAACTGCATTTCGCCCTGCCAGTAGAGCACACTGATAAGCGAAATTTTCACCTGAAGCAAAACATGCTGTTGGTTTCTATCTAATTTGAGGTAGCTATGACTACTGACTAAACTTAAGGGCAGTATTATCATCTACGCAAACAACAATAAAGGAATTTATGGAGCTAAATGCGGTTGATGAAGACAAGGTGGCAAATACAAGGGAGACCGAACGACAATACTATCTGCCCATACTACTAGCTGGTACACTCTGCCAGGGCCCGAGAAATGAGGCCCAAGGCAAAGGCGAAGCGGGACAAGTAAATTTCGTGAGTGGTCGGTGAAAATTCATCAACGAGTGTCAATATCTCCCGACCTGGACCGGAAAGACAACGAGCTCGTGGCTCATTGGTTAGAGCGTTAGACTCTGATCAAAACATCGCGAGTTCGAAGTTCGGGTGGTTCACCACTTGGGCCTGGGTATGACTGGCTTGTGCGACGACTTATAAGCCAGATATGGCCATTTCGGTTTCCTTTGTCTTGGCTGGCAATACTATCTGCCTACATTACCAGCTGTTACAGCTGCTGTCAGGGTCTGACAAATGAGACCCAAACAAAAGGCGAAACGGGACAAGTGAGGTCAGTTAGCGGTTGGTGAACATTCATCAAAGACTACTAATTTTATCAGTACGACAGAGGAGTGAGGTAATTAACGGGGTCTGAGGAAGGCATTTACAGTACTCGAATATCTGGCATAAGTTTTCCTAAATTTTAACCATGAGGTATTGAAACAGACGCACGAAAGGAAATATGCAAATCAAGGGCGTACAAATGGGCAGAAAACAGAAACTAATTAAGCGCAGAAGCTTGTATGGGGTAACACGGTCTGTGACAAGCAAACTTAACTCCAGTCCCGACCCTAACTCTTTACTTGACCCTAACATAGCCCTTAACATGTTATTCAACTCAGCCGGGAATATTACCCTAATATGATATATCTAGTTACATCAAATAAGCAGCTGTGCTATGGTAATATTAGATCGTCGCTTAAATGCGTTCTCAAATAAAGACATTCGGAAATCTTGCAGAGCTCATTGTACACATGAAAAAGCTTGCTAAGTGCAAAATGCTAGTGGCTGCGAAGAGTCTGCAAACAAATAATCACGTTTCCCAACAAAGAACGTTGCTTCGCCCCCTTTGACAGCAATGAAGTGGTACCAAGAGGAGTCAGAGTCAAGGCATTCGGTGCGAAAGCCAATTCAACCATGTGACTATCATCTGTCTGCGTACCGCATACATTACTATGTTCAGCGACTCAAACTATATGATAAAAAAATTAAGATTGGCAAGATTTCATGAGCCACAGAAACATCCGAAAATGCAATCGGAAAATGACGTGATCGCAGAGAGGAGGGGTAAGAGAGAAGTTTAAGAAAAAATACCTGTAAGGGAAAACAATGTTGTCTCTTATGAAATCGGAGGCAGTTAGTTTGGAGCGTGAGTCATTCCATGACTGCGAGATATTGTCAGCGAGTTCTCTCGCGCGTCGAATGGCCCCTATGTAGTCCTGCGGATCGCTAAGGACGGTGTGATAGGTCATGAAGTAGTTGGCGCCAACGAGCACCTTGGACGAGGAATTTTGGACTGGGTTAAGAAGCTCCACGGCAGTACTGTAGGCTGCCTTTCCACTGAAATTGATAGAAAAAACACGACCAGGCGTGAGTTAAATAAACGGTTGTGAACTGAGAACAATAATCCGTAAAGAGTTGGTCGCGTCCGTAAAGCCGGAAAACGTACTTCCTTCTGACCTATTCGCAGGCTTCGGATAAGAAAACATGAACCAAACAGAAGCCATTCACTGCCTACGTTGCAAATACAGACGTTAAACATCTGGAAAGGGAACCGGGGCACAGAGTCCTGTCTATTGAATCAACCAGTAGAGAAGAATGCTACCGGAATGCGAGACCAGATGGCGTTCGTTTGCCAAAAACGAAATGGGTTTACTTGACATAATACGAAAAGCCATAGCAAACGGTAAGAATATATACTAATCGGTCGACGGATATTTTGTTGAATGGCAAGTTTTTCAAAGAAAGCTCATATGACTAGCCAAACTCAAATAATCTTTACTTCATGTACGGTGCTTAGGCGATTTATAGTCAGATATGGAAGGGAGCAGCAGGAAGGTGGGAATTTTTTTCCTAACTTGAGAACATGGAGTCTGGAGGATCTTAAAGTTGCAAATACTTCGCCAAAATGAAATCCATATTGACAAACGTTGACGTGGATACTTGTGTTGCGGACGGCCACCA